CAGACAGCCTCTTCCCAATATGCGTTTTTGCAATTTACATAAATGCAAAAACGCATAAAAACGAAGTATGTAGGGAATATTTGTTTCAGAAATAAGCATAAAACACTGATGATGCCTTCCTCAAAACAACAGAATTTCACCGCTAGGGCGAAATATTCTTGAGCAATCTGAATTCAGTATTTTCGGTACTTTGATCTATGGGTGAAGTAGGACTTAGAATGAAATTAGTATCTTTTTCAACTATCAAGTAAGTGCTCTCAGACTGGTATTTTAAAAGAACTAAATAATCTTGATGGCTACATTTCAGGTATAATTGGATTAGTGAATCTGATGGGTATCGATTTGGAACCAATCATGATGGCTGCAATGTTGATATCAATGGGATTCAGTGTCGATATACCAGCTCATGTGGCTTATCACTATAACAGTGCTGGTGAGTCTCCTCGTAAATCTGATTTTTTTGACAATTTTTGGTAAAAAATGGTTGCTGAACGTAATCCGCTCTGACAAAATTTGTATCCATTTAAAAAAGAATCCTTTCTACACCTCCATCTCAATTACAAGGAACGGCAAATTAACACAGAAAAATATCAGAGATACCATGGGGCAGAAGAATTTATTTGACCCTCGGAACATTCGGCCGGCTTTTCTAGCGCCAATGCGGTACTGTAATTTTAATGCAGTTTTTAGATTATCAGTGGTAATGTTGGGAGCAGTCAGCATAGATATCTATGTTAATAATGTTACTGGGATGCTCACATAAGTTCGGAGCAGCCATGCAAGGCCATTTGACCTTGGATTGCACACCTCCAGTTAGTACTCACCGTTTGTCCGATGTATTTCGATACGAAAATAAGCAAAGTGAAATTTGACGCTAACAGAATTGACGTTTAAGCAACTAAAAGCTTGAAATAACTTAGCTACGCCTTGCTCTGGGACCATCGCAGTAACATCACTAAAATGGGGTCCCTACGTCAACTGTCCAGGTGATCCTGATATTTCCGGGATTTA